GGCAATCCCGCATTGTAGCTGTCTCCGGCAACTGCTGCTGAAAATCGCTGAACAGAAACTCCGGATAGGAGAACGCGGCGGGCCAGACCAACGTGCTGCCGTCCTCGTCCAGGTGGACTGGGTGGTCCTCTAATGGCAGGAACTTGGGGCGGAGAAGCTCCTCGCTCAGCGTGGCCTTCATTCCCACCTTTTGATCGTCGAACTTTATGGCGCGCTGCTCAATGGCATCGCGCAGCCTGTGGAAGCGGGTGAGACGACGCTTGGCCTCGGCGGCCTCCTTGCGCTGGTTGCGCTCTATCTCAAGCTGCGGAAATTCGAAGGGGTTAGGTGGATTCACATTCAGCTGGATAACCTAATCTCACTTTCTTCATCTTGTTCTTGTGCAGCAGCGCGTTAGCCTCCTTGTGATCTACGTCCACCTCGAGCAGCTCCTCGCACATCTGGGTGCACAGGTCGAACCTCTCCAGCTCGTAGGCGCACTGTGCTGACCTCCACCGGGCCTTGGTGTAGTCCGGCTTGTAAAACAGGGCTCGCTGTGCATCGCTCAGCGAGGATCTGTAGTTCTTGATGAAGTAGTGGGCGGCCGAGCGATTGTTGTATAGAACGGCCAGGACGTCGGGATTCTCCGACTTGGATTTGATGCCCTCGGTGAAGCTGTAGATTGCCATGCGGAACTTCTTATGCTTCATGTAGAAGTTGCCGTCCTCCTTGTAGTTGAGCGCCAGTTCGTCGCGCGTGTTCTCCTCCGGATCGTACTTGAGCTTCTGCAGACCCTCGAACATCGGGTGCACGTCGTCGCCAGGCTGCGGAGCACGCTTCATGAAGAACGGATGCTTGTCCATCTCCTCCTGCCATCGGTCCTCCGGCCAGCCCTCCTCATAGCGCTTCTTCTCCAGGCCATCGATGAAGGCGTCCAATTCGGCGTCCAACTTCGCCGCCAGCTCCAGGCGCTCCTCATCCGTCCAATTCCGTTGCGCGGCCAGTTCCTCCATTTGTTGGTCCAATTAGAAAGAGTGTGACCGCAGAGGGACCGTTAGAATATACCAGTTGGCTTTTGGGAATGAGCTGAAATACATTTTTTGAATTTTTAGAAGATCTATTTTAAGTTCTTGTTTTATAGGGTAACAAGAAGGATATAAAGGATATAGCAACGTAGTGGGAAATATTGAAATATCAGTTTAACTGTCCGAGGGTGACCGTATGCTGTAAAAATACTGTTCGTGAGTTTGGCCACCCCCTTAGAGTCATCGATGTCTATCGATAAGCTAACCAGTGTTGAACAACGCCCGCGCACAGACCCTCCATTGGCAGAGACGCGACTGAGCTGAGACACAAGTTGGCAGAGACGCGACTGAGAAATAAAATTAAAACGTCGACGTTCCTTCCTCGCAGAAGAAACCAATCAAAATAAAAACAAACAGAGCGTGCGTTCGCGCCAAATACTTAACGACAATTAGCAAACGAAAGAAACAAAGTGAGTGTCGTCGGGCAGCGAAAGCCCGAGTGCTGGGACTTAGACTGGGATCGGGATCCACATATCCACACAATCCCGTTTCGTTTCTTGCTAAATTAACGCTTGTTTCCCTCCCGTCTCGTCCACCACCCCCCAGTGCATACCCTCACGGCGGCCATCGAGATGGACAAGCTGGATGCCAATCTCGAGCAGCAGTTTGATCTCAATCTCATCGAGGCTGTGAAGCTGAACCCAGTGATATACGACAGGTCGCACTACAATTACAAGCACTTTGTGCGCAAGGCCCAGACCTGGAAACAAATAGCCGAAACTCTCGGTGTGCCTGGTAAGTGAAATTCGGCTGGTTTTGGCTTTTGCTACGGGTTTTCTGCTTTCTGTCTCCAGTCCGTGCCCCAACCAGCCAATTGATTAATTCTCTGAGGGTCGGAGCGGGACGGGGACGGGGCAGAGAAGAGAGGCGAGACAAGTCAGTCGACGACGACAGAAAACGACGCAAAAGTGAACGGCGACGCGACGCAGTAGCTGGCTGATGGTTGTGAAATTCCAGGGGCGCATCTGCCCGGGGAGGGTGGGCCGCAAAAACCATCAAATGTTAAAGTAGCATGTTTATATATTTTATACAATTTTGATAATCCCATTGCTTAAGGTTATCAAATTTTAAAAGGGCTATTCAGGGAATGGTTTTTTACAGAAAATGATTAAAAATCATATTTGAATACTCTCAAAACTGGTTTGTATGCAGTCCCACATGCCGAATTCTAAATTAGGTTCCTAATTTTTGCTTCATTCCAAGTAAAATATATAAATTAGGGCCCCGTTTGGGCGCTCGAATTCCGCCCCTGGCCGCTCTGTCGGTGTAAAAACCTCTGTGGCAGTGTGCTCAGTCGATATTTTTGAAGTTGCTGTACTTTGCCGTCGCGTCGCAGTAGTTGTCTCGCTCGCACAGCTGCCATTCTGCTTGCGCCAGCGTTTATTTTCGTACACTGCGCTGCCTCGGTCTCGGTCGACAGCTGACTCGCTCACACACGCTCGTATGTACTCATGCATACAGTGGCGGGCAAAAGTATTTGCACAGCAGATTTTGTTTAAGTAAAAAATGGGTTTCATAAACAAAAAGATTTTATTTGAGAATTCTGGGAAAAACGTTCATCACAACATTTTAAAATAGGATATTTACTTTAAAGTCAATAAGTATACAGTTTCAAGTTACAATACCTTCCTGTTAAAAAAGAAAGTTACATATTCCACCTGCGTTAATACTTTAGGGCCGCACTGTAGATACCGGATACCAAACAGGCAGCTTTCGTTTCGTTTTTATGAGTATACCAACAAAATGTACCGTTCACTCCACCCCCTCGACGGCCTTTGATTGAACCCTAAATTTTCGCCTATATCGTGGCACCTTTTCGGCTTTCGATTATGCAAGAAGGTGGCTCGAAAGCTGGAGTTGCAGCCAAGTCGACCCCGCAGCAATGCTACAGGTTTCCGTCTCCGGGCAGAGGCCGTGGGCAGCGGAGGAGGAGGAGCGGCGGTCGAAGTCGGCAGTAACCAGTCGGCGACGACGTCACCGTCACGTCAACGTCTCTGCTGGCGCTGGGAAACTGCTGCCTTCCTTCTGCCACCGCCGCTGCCTCTGCCAGCGGTTTGTTTTGGTTTGCGATTTGATGCTTCTAGCAGATGCGCTCTCAGGGGTGGGTTAGATGGTACAATAGTTCTGGTTCAGTTCTGATAGTAGTCCAGAAGTCTCAAGTTGCTCCTGTACCAACAACGGAAATCGCAGGTGTGAAGCAACAGGGCGTCGATAAAAAGAACTAAGGAGATTACAAGTTTTGAAATGGGAGAACGATTTTGTATGAGTAATTTTCAAGGCAACGATGATTCAGTACAAGTACAAAAATATATAGGAGTACTAGAACTTGAAATTATTTCCAATAATACTTTTCTCTTTTTTAATTTTTGGTATACGTAGTTGCAGCCCGATATCATAGAGATCGCTTTTAGACTGAGAGAAACTTTTTTTAAGAGCACTGCTCTCAACTTTGTATAGTCCAATAGTAAGCAACGTTTATTTTTAAACGTGGTAACCAAAGCCGTTGTAATTAAGTTGTTCATTTTATCTATTTCATTGTAGAACAAAAATGTACCAAACGCTGGAAGAGCCTGCGCGACAAGTTCGCTCGCGAAATGAAGCTGTGCCAGGAATCACGCTGGCGCTACTTCAAGCAGATGCAATTCCTGGTTGACTCCATCCGGCAGTACCGAGAGTCGCTGCTCGGCAAGTGCGCCAATGGCAGTCAAAACGCCAGCCAGGTGGCCGATCCTTCGCAGCAGCAACAGGCACAGCAACAGACCGTCGTGGACATATTCGCACAGCCCTTCAATGGCAGCGCCACAACCTCGGCCCAGGCCCTAACCCATCCGCATGGTAGGTCGTTTTGCCCCTGGCCATTTGAAAACACCACTAAATTCTTTAATCCCTTACAGAAATCACCGTCACTAGTGACGCACAGCTGGCGACTGCCGTGGGCAAGGACCAAAAGCCATACTTCTACGAGCCGCCGCTCAAGCGGGAGCGCAGCGAGGAGGAGCACAGCGACAATATGCTCAACACTATCAAGATTTTCCAGAACAACGTCTCGCAGGCGGTCAGCGCCGAGGACCAGTCGTTCGGCATGGTTGTCACGGACATGCTCAACACGCTGGGCGTGCGACAAAAGGCCGAGGCCAAGGTGCACATCATCAAGTATCTGACGGACATGCAGTTGTTGGCACAGCACAACAAGTACTAACTGTCGGGCGGCTGTCACCGGCAGCTGCTGCAGCTGCTCCAACTGGAGAGCGTTCTGCCCTGAGATCAAACGAGAACGGACCGACGGCCACCCACATCCACACAGGCCTGCGGTCCTGTGCGGTCATTTTCTTTAGTTCATAGATCTTAAAGTCAAACTACAGAATAACATTAGACGTAACTCCCCACTGCGTATACCCATAACGCGTAATTATACTTATCCGAGCCCAAACGTAGACAAACATATATATTTATATGCTTAGTTGGCCCCATAATCGGTGATTCAATTCGCGCCCAGTTCTCAGCTCTGTACAAAAGATAAATACGATTGAAAAATAGCGATCCTAGAATTATGAGTAGTTTGTTAAACGACCGTGGAAACACTTCAGCGTATTGTAAATTTTTGACTACGATTTAGTTGTAACTTGCCATCGGGTCTTAGCTCTGTAATTAAGTACACACGTAAAAGTTATTTTAATTTTATAAGTTCTGTTGTAATATGCTGAAAACGCTTGAAAGATACTTTGAAAGGCTTTAATTAAGGATGTCAAAAGGAATCATTAAACACCTTTTTTCATAGTGAGCGCATATTACACACTTTACACGGATAAAATCGAAATAGTTGCCGGCAACGCAAGTTGCAAAACCATTTTCAATGATTAATTGTGCAATTATTTGGTATTAAAAGAAACATTTGAAAAGTAACCGACTTGTTTCAATCGGAGTGATGTGGCAACGCTGCAAACCAGCGGTATAAACAGAAACAGCTGTTCGAGCTAAGGAAAAATTTTATGTAATTGAAATGGCCACGAAAACGGAAAATGCTGACTCAAAATCGAGCAATTCAAAGGACACACTAGACGACACGTGGGCAGTAAGTATTTGGCTGCATGATTGGATACGGAGTTCAGGAATCCTCCTTCTAGATTCGCCCCTGTCACCTGTACAAAGAGGAGTACGACGACTGCACGAGCTTCAAGGCCCGCTTCCACCAGTACTTCATATATGGCAAAGACACAGACTGTTCCCAGTGGCTAACTGACTACCGGAACTGCGAGAGATATCAGGAGTCCAACGGCAACGATGTTGCGGCCGGAAGGGCGGTGATCAAAAGCGAGGAGGAGCGCCGTCGCATCCGTCTGCGCGCCCATTTCGCCAACGACACCTGGGAGAAGCGGAAGCAGCCACCTCAGGATTGGGCCGCACCACTGCCCGACTGGATGGAGAAACGCAACGAGAACACCTATCTGGAGCTGAAGCAGAAGGAGCTCTCTGGCCAGGCGGCGCCCCAAGGGGAGGATCGGTCCCTGTGCGCGATCATGTGAAAATATAATGGTAGTTAAGAAAACAAGGTTGTTTAATTGTCATTTCGGAACCCCCAGTGCCTTGGCAATAGTTTTGAAACCAATATTATACCCAATTCGCAATGGTCTGGCAGCACTTCAATCAGCTGTCTTAGTCCCTTTGTGTTTTGGACAGTGCTGCTACCTCTAGCTAAGCAATTTGTGTTAAAACTAGCTAAATCAAGCAAATGTTGCTAGGATAATTCATAAAATATAACAAAAAGATTTGAATACAACATCGGAAACACAAAAGCCCACTGTTAACATGATTTTTAGTTTATGTAATTTTAGTTTTAAATAAATTGTATATTGTAATTAAAAAGGTACCTTGTTTTCATCATTCCTGCACAAAATAAACAAGCCTGGCTACGAAGTAACTGAACTGGCATCACTGTTGGGCGACACCTCGAATACGGATATCTATCTTTTTTTGCATCCGCATCCCAACGCTCCAGCTTTGCCTAAAATGCTAAAGGGCAGCACACTAAAAGCCCTGGACGTCAGAATCCTAAGGCCCCTTATTCAAACAAGGTCAGCAGGTAAATGTAAATTACATAACCCGCGGCAGACGCCAAACCCGTAATATTTTGATAGCAAAATTGTCTGTGCCACTCAGATTGTTCTTCTCCTGTTGCAGTGGAGGCCAGCAGCGCAGCTACTCCAACAGCATCCACAGGTCCTACATCACCTTCAATGATTTCCGCAACAAGCACCGCTGGTACACAAAAAAGGAGCTCGTGGGGTGAGTACTGCGCATGATGAAATCATCCACAGAGTACTTACAATCCATATCCATATGGACACGCACAGGTACTCCATGCAGGACATGTACAGCGTTGTCTCCGACGTCAGCAACTACCACAAGTTTGTGCCGTATGTGAAGCGCTCCCACGTCCACAGCCAGGAGAAAGGAGGCTTCAAGGCGGACCTTATCGTGGGCTTCCCGCCGCTCAGCGAGTCGTACACCTCGCAGGTCACCCTGGTGCCGCCCAGCTTGGTGAAGTCAGAGTGTCACGATGGACGCCTGTTCAACTACCTGCTGAACGAGTGGCGATTTAGTCCGGGACTCAAGGACATACCCAACTCGTGCGTGCTGGACTTCAAGGTCTCCTTCGAGTTCAAGTCACTGTTGCACAGTAACGTGGCCAACCTATTCTTCGACCTTATCTGCGACCAGATGGAGAACGCGTTCATCGAGGAGGTGCGTCGTCGGAGCGGCCCACCCTCGATCCGCTCGCACGTGCTCACCTCGCAGCGATCTTGACGAGGGGAGTGGTATCTTTTTAGTGATTTAAGTTGAACTTGTGTACATTGCGTTGACATACCTCTTTGTTAGAACAATTAACCAAATTGTAAATAAATTGTCTATCGATTTGTGTATAAACGGACAGCCAAAAGGTACCTCTACCGACCAGACACCAAATGAAACAATACACGAGTACAAAGAACATAAATTAAGTACTTTAATTTGGTTCACTTAACTCAATACTCAAAATCAATCATTTTCGTTAACAGTCTCGTTTTGGGATTAGTAGTGGGCCATTGAAGATATTACCTGCTTAATTGACAGCTTCTCGGTTATGTTGAAAACTTAGGAGTTAAAATAAAATTACGTTGGAATGGCATCGTTTAAGTGGCGAGAAATATACAACATTCTCAAGTGGCATACGCTACAAACATTACATTACATTACAGGCTTACCATACTGATATTATCGTGCATCGTTATTCGGGATCGGGGCAGTTAGGTATTTGAGTGGGAACGCTACTATTACCTCGACACAGGAGGATAAATACAAGAGTCTACTTTTGTATCTAATGGATACTACCTACATACGTTCTACAACTATTATGCTAAGCTCTCTATATTACTTTTTACAGGGAAGTGTAGTAACGAACTCTACTTAGTTTGCGCAGTAAAAAAGACTGACTAAAACAGTAAGTGTTAAATGTTCAATTCTAGATATTGTCCAGTGAGTGCGCGTGCATCTACTCTCGGCAAACAATTAAGCTATCAATAGGAGGATCAACCAATCTTTAAAGACGAGGCTAACATCTGATAACGCAATCGAAGGTAAAGGTACAATAGCTTAACACTGGGCGCCTAGCTACCCGAGATAAATTAGGACTCTAGCACAAAGATAAGGCCGGAAACAACACAATAGAAACGAGAAATTATTTCCGGGTCAGGAGTGTGAGGGTGTGGGAAGGGCACGGCACCTGGTGCAACCATTTAGAATGGTTAAGCACAATACGTAAGCCCTACAAAATATCACTTTTTCGACGGCGATAGGCCGCCAGTTTCCTTAGTTCTCAGTTGTGCTTGGCCCGCCGGCCAAACATGTAGCCCTTCCAGCGCTCCGCGGTCTGTGCAATCAGTGGATCGCTATCTATGGTGGCCAGCAGGAGCAGCTGGTTCACGTGCGTCGCATGGTAGTCCCAGCGCGCTAGGTTGGGTGCCACGCCCAGGCTCAGGTGGCGAAGGTCATAGCTGGTGCCGGACCCAGTGTCGTAAAGCAGCAGCATCTTCTTCAACGAGTACATGCCCTGGGCGAATAGCTTCCCAGCCTCCCGGGCGATTTTTACTGGCGCAGTACTGTTAAGATCGTAGAGGCCCAGTAGAGAATAGATAAAGCCGTTCAGCACATAGGACGGCGGCGTGGTGGGATACTCCTCGTACCTGTAGAGGAAAAAGTATTAGTTGTACGACCAAATATAACTATCTTTACAAAGTGGTTATCCTTAATTTTAAAATAAATTTAAAAGCAATAACACCCTTCTCACCAGTAAAACTTGTCCATGAACTGCGCAAGAACGCCGCCGTCTCGCGAGTATACCCTGTAAGGCTGCAGACCGGCTGCGGCCGCCCGAAGATAGCGATCATCGCCAGAGTGCCAGTAGGCTCGTGACAGCACCGAGATAGCGTGCCCCTGACCCATGGCCGAGATCCAGCCCGGACGCAACTCAGCAAAGCCGTTAAGGCTACGACGCACAGGATTGGCCCAGCCACCAGTCTTGGGGTCCTGGTTGTGGATAAACCACTCTGCTGCATCGTAAAAGTGAGCCAGATGGTCACTGGTAGACAGAGTGATGTTGTCGTAAAAGCCCAGGCCCAGGAAGCCAATAGCCAAAACCTCCAGATCAGAGCGGCGCACCTTTAACGGCGAGCGTTTGTCTCCTAGGACTATTCCCTTCTGGACGTCAATGTGCAGGTCCCGAGTGATGTGGCGCCACTTGTTAAGCGCCGATCCGCCAAGCCCGTAGTAGATGTTGGAGTCCTGCACGCTTAGCAGCAGGTCGGCGGGTATGTAGTGGAGATTATAAGTGTGCCGGGTGTCCCGGTTCTGGACGGTGACCATGAGGCTGCTGCTGTTGGTGACGAGCAACAGATCCACACTGAGGAGCAGGTCCAGCGTCTGATTAAGGGCGATACTAATGGCGCCCTCATAGCCAGGTGCCGTCTCAAACTGGACCACGCTGGTGTTGAACTTATGGTGCCAAATGCGGGTCATGTTGCTCGTCTTGGGTGTGCTCCAGTCCATCTGGTTTCCATCGCCGTCCTCTAGCACATGCACCCTGGGCGCCGGTTCCGTGATGTTCTTGCTGTAGTGCGACAACGCGAACTGGGCAATCTGCGTGGGGTAGAAGTACCCGCGCTTCTCCCACTGCGTGCTCACCGGGACGCCTTCGGCGGCGCTGATGCACTTTACACGGTCGCGCACCTCCACGTTGTAGTTCTCGAAGTACATAAAGACGCCGCGCGCATCGTATTTGCCCCTGGGCAGGTTCACCTTGGCCGTACTGTGCACCCAGTTGAACTTGGCCACCTCGCTGCCGGTGGTTGAGACGGCACCACTGACGTCGAAGTAGTTGCGCAGGAAGGAGAACGGCACGTATACCTCGTTGGCGTTCTCGTCACGCTTGCAATGTACACTATACTCCTGGTTTATGGAGCACTCGATGTCCTGCAGTGCGGTGGCCTCACCTCCGTTGGTGGACTGCCTGCCTGTTCGGTCCAGAGGGCGCATCAGGTCTGGCGAGAAGGTGAAGGCGGCGCAGCGCATGTAGACGCCGAGGGTGATCACCACCACGGCCACGGTGAGGATGAGCAACACGGCTTTCAGGTTCAGTCGCATGATGAAGAAGACCAGTGGCTCGCGTTGCTACGGATGTGTGGGTTTTAGATTAGCTAACTGAGAGCAGGTTGGAATAGAGATCGTTACCTTAATCCCCTGGGACGTTCGTGGATCCCTGTTTTCCCTGCTTACTGGAGGCGCGTGCAAGGCGAAGACATCTCTCTGGCTGCTGGAGGATTTGGACATCCGGTTGGTGGGCGGACCCGCTAACAGTCTCGTACTGATCTTGCGGCAGGGCTCAGGTGAGTCATGCTCTAAATATAAGTCAGCGTTCATCTGGCAGATGCATGGCGACAAATATTGATAGTGGTGCACCCACAGCTATTCGTCCCTCTCTTTCACTGCCTCTCTATGGGTAAAAATACACCTGCAGACCCCTTAGCTCCTCGATTTTAGACCTCGGCCATCCAATGTCGATCCTTTAACTGCTGCCAATGCTCCCCGAGCATATTTTATTTAGGTTTTTCTCGATTTTCCACAATTTACTACGCAAACACTGCGGAAAAACAGCAATTTCAATACAGATGAGCGAATGTTTTGACATCTGACAAAAGGGAGGACTATGCACGTCGATAGCTGGGCTGATTTTGATATCGATAGCTTCAACCAGACGGCGATTAATCAATAGTGCAATGTTTACAAAATATTTCAGGTGTATGTCGCTCAGTAGGCTATTTTAACTAGTTTTAGTCATGTCTAGTCGTAGTTTAAGTGCAATACTCCTGGTTCTGGGGGCATTAGTGGCCGGCTGCTATGCCTCCAACGGTGACCGCACCCAGTTTTTCCACAATTGTCGGCAGAACTGTGAGCGAACAAACTGTTCGGCAGGTTAGAGTTCTATTGCCATTGCTTGACATCCTTACGAGAATGCTTCCTTCGGCAGATGGATTGGAGATCCAGGAGCAGGCGGTCAAGTTTTACAAGCAGTCGGTGTTCGACCGACTCTTCCAGTGGACCTGCGCCGACGAGTGTCAGTACGGATGCATGTGGCGCACGGTTCTGGCCTTCTTCGAGCGCGGATGGCCCATTCCCCAGTTCTACGGCAAGTGGCCGTTCCTCCGCCTGCTGGGTATGCAGGAGCCGGCGTCGGTGATCTTCTCCTGCCTCAACTTCGCCATGCACCTTCGCATGCTGCGCAAGTTCCGGAGGGAAGTGCGTCCGGACAGTCCCTGCTACATGCTGACCCACATATTCGCAGTGGTAGGGCTATCTCTCGTTTAGGGACAGAAAAAGACACCTTACTAAGTAATCTTTTCTCCTCGCAGACTAGCCTCAACGGCTGGGTCTGGTCCGCCATCTTTCACACGAGGGACTTCCCGCTGACCGAGTTGCTGGACTATGCTTTTGCCTACTCCATTATCCTGTGCTCACTGTACGTCATGGTCATGCGAATGCTGCACCGCTACTCTCTGTTTCTGCGGGGTGTGATTTCGCTGGCCTTCGTGTCCTACTACATTAACTACTTTGCCTACCTGAGCGTGGGACGGTTCAACTACGCCTTCAATATGATGGTGAACGTGGCCACGGGCGTGATCGCGGCCGTGGGCTGGTTTGTTTGGTGCCACTTTGTGCGTACCCGTAGACCTTACTTCCGGAGGATCCTGCGCTTCTACGTTCTCATGGCGCTGGCCATGAGCCTGGAGCTACTGGACTTTCCTCCCATCCTCTGGATCCTGGATGCTCACGCTTTATGGCACCTGGCCACAGTTCCGCTAGCCGCTCTTTACTACGAGTGGGTATTTCTCGACGTGCGATTTCCCAACACTTTCATAAATGTGTTCCCATTTCAGCTTCATGATCGAGGACTGTCGAACCCTGCGAAAGGAGAAGGCTGCGGCGGGAGGCTATGCATTCTACAACTAGTATTATTCAGGATACTTAGAACCAGGCACTGTTCTTTGTCTGTGGAGCTTTTCCTCATGAACGGCCTGCCACTGGTGACAAGGAAAAACTGCCATAACAAATATTTTTAGGTCACGAGGGAGCTACCTTTGAGAGCAACCAAAACTGCAGGAATAGTACTCGCTTCGTTTACAAAGACATAATAGAGACTTTATTACAACATTCAGTACTTTGCGCTACATTTGTCCGCATTGCGAAATGGTCACTGGCAGTTTGGGCTTGTTGTTGGGGCCCGTGGGCACGTTCTCGATCTTCCGCATGATGAGCAGACCGTCTAGGACGCGACCGAAGACCACATGCTTGCCGTCCAGGAAGTTGCACTTGGCGCAGGTGATGAAGAACTGGCAGCCATTGGTCTCCTTGCCACTGTTCGCCATGGAAAGCAGTCCCGGCGAATCGTGTTTCAGGGTGAAATTCTCGTCGCCGAAGGTGTTGCCGTATATACTGGTAACGCCAGTGCCGTCGCCCTGGACAAAGTCGCCGCCCTGAATCATGAAGTCCTTGATCACCCGGTGAAAGCTGGCGCCCTTGTAGCCAATGGGCACTCCATCCGGTCTGTACTCGCCTGTGCAGAACTGCCGAAAGTTTTCCGCCGTGCGGGGTACTGTGTCCGCAAACAGCTCGAATATCATTCGTCCGATTTCCTGCCACCAAAAGGGGTAAAACTGTAGGTTAATTCATGTTGATGCCAAGCGTGTTTTCACCTTACCGTTGTGCCTACGGCGATGTCGAAAAAAACGACTGGATTGTTGGAACTGCGCAGCTGCGACTGAATTTGATTCCAGTTGGGCATTTTAATTAACTATTATTTATAAAATAACTTTAACAAACTAGGAGATTGGTCTGCACCGGCAGATTTTTGTTTACGTTTTATGCGATTGTTCGATGACGATAGGTCAGGAACAGTGGCCTATCGATAGACTGCGAAGCCGGTCATATCGATAGGCACACGTGTGCCGAGTGTTTGTTTTTATTTTGCTGTGCACAAATTGTTAAAATTAATTAATTATAATTAAAAAGGTGAGTTCATCCAAGATAGTGAACTTCGGATTGTATAAGCGATTTAGTACAGCAGTGCAAAAGTGAATTCTTTGCTCAAATCTCCATATTATTTGCTGCCAATATGATTGCCAAGATTTGTTTATGTTTATTTTTATTGGCTAGTAAACCCCTTCCCTCAACAAACTGGGAAATCTTGAAGCACTATTGATAATTAATCAAAAATTCATTCCCTATTCCAATAAAAACAAAAATATTCTTTTTAATTCCGTTGCTATATTTCCTCTTAATTAACATCACAAAAACTTGCAGCCACAAATGCCGTTAACTATATAGTATTTATATATTAATAATTTAATAAAACATGTCTCGTAAAATAGCTTTTCAAGATACGTATGTACATACATATATAAACTTTAAATTTTTAATTTTCCAAGTGTCATTCTCTAGACAGCTAACTCTACGTATAAAATATAGGATAACGAAATATTACACAATAACAATTTTGCGATATTATTCCATAAATCGTTTCTATTAACGTATGTTAGCGTTATGTACATATATAAAAACATATTTGAACGTTGTATGAAAGTAGTGACAAACAATTGACGAATTGCTAGGAAAATGCTTGTAGCTGTGAAAATCGCACCATACACATCAAAAATGTTTTAACAAAATGTGTGACGAAAAATAATTTTTAATTCGACCGAAAAATATATTTTTAAAAAAATGTATGGGTCGTTTTTGGTCTTCATGTTAATTTTAATGTACGTTTTAAATTGTACATTTAAATCTACATTGTTGTACATCTACATTGAAACCCTGCATGAATCAACAGTTTTCGAAAAAGTTGTTTCGAAATATTTTTAAGATTCAAATGATTCGAAACAGTTAAAACAGTGCGATTTGAAGATTCAGTTTCAAACGTGACTTATAAATGAAAGCTGTAATATTAAGTTTGCTGCTGTTCTATTAATTTTGATTAAAGGTGTTTTAACAAAATTGAAGTCTTACTACAATTTAGATTGCTTTTCAAAATCACAATATCGTAGCCATGCTCGGATTGTTCCGAATAGTGCAACGTTTATAATCCTAACAAAAGAATTTCCTATGTTTCGTTTTGTGAATTAGATCACAGCTGAGATCGAAACGAACTGTTAATTCATGCAGGGCTCTAATCTACAATCGTTTTGTACTTAACTAGAAAGGAAAACGGACCCTAGGTGGGCCCATTGTTTAAACCAATTCTGAATTTGTTATCGTAACCGCCCACAAAACACACGCAAAATTGTTTCAATTGCAATTTTATAAGATGTGCATAACAAATGCCAAGATAATGTTTATAAATAAGTGCTTTTTTCATGAAAGTAACTTAAGGTAGGTACAAAATATTAGCAATTACGAATGATTCAATGTTTAAATTACATAATATTCAGCAACAACTTAGGTCCTAAATACATAAATAGATGTACTTAAATTCAAACGGAGCAATGTTAGTCGGTAGACTCTAGGTACATGCCTCATTTCAGCTCGACAATTAATACTAGGTAGAGGTAAATCCGCAAATCACCTACAGCTCGGCTCTCAGTTACTCGCCTCGTCCGTGTCCACGTCGGATATATCTTTAAGTTTTGTATTGCCGTTCGTGTTGCTGTTGTTCTTGTCGTTGTCGTCGGCGGCCTTTTGGAAATTCTCCTGCAGAGTTTTTGGATCCACGACCAGGATGGGTGTACAGCCATCCATTAGGTGCTCACTTTGACTCTGGTATTGCTCCCGCGAAATGCTACGCGTGAAGGAGAATCGCAGCGACTTTGTTCTGGTCAGCTTCTTTTTAATGGGTGGCTTACCCGCCACTGGAGCCATCGGCTCCGAGCTGGTCCGCTCCGAGCCTTCTGGCGTGGTGGGCACGGAGCTGGACTCCAGCTGGTGGTCACGCAATATCTCCTCCGCGAAGCACTTTATCTGACTCCAGGCATCTAGGATGTCCTTTTCGGTGGCGTGTTCGTAGGTTACGCAGAAGCGGATGACGTAGCGGCCGTTGAACTTGGCCGGCGTCATGTGCATCTTGCCCGAATGGTTAATCTGGGCCAGCAGCATGTGATTGGGCTCGTCGCCAGTGCTGTAAGGAGGGTCGAGTAAACCATTAGATCCCAGAATATACATACAAATTCCCAGCCAACCCAAGATATTTTTATACATAGAACATGCCTGGAGTCTATCCTAGATCTAGTCTTGTCTGTCCCCCTGCTTGTTCATCTTTCGAAAGATCTTTGGAGTAACACGTCCCAAAAATGCAATCGTTTGGTTCCAGATACAATCTATGCCAATTAGAGCAATTAGTTAAAAGCACGTGCCTTATGCAACACTTTCAGTTTGTCACACTGACCAGAACTAATAACATTTTCTGTATGAAAGTCAAACATTATTAATGACCTTCGGCCGAAAGTCTCAGCAACTATGGCCGATTCCTCCCTGTACCTTACTGCTTACAGCTACTTTCTGACAAATTCCAACATTATTCATATTTTTGGGTTATAATAATACTATTAAAATCTAATTTTGAAAAAAGATTAGGTAGTAATAAATATTTTTGCGACTTACCGCATTCTGAAGCAGACCAGACCAAGGTGGACATCGTTCCGGACCTCGAATCGCTCATCCTTGCGCACCAGCATCTCGAACTTCTTGGCCAACGCCATGTGATTGCGTATGTACTCCTGCAGGCCCCTGATGCCGTATGTCCGGAAGACGAACCAAAGCTTGAGCGCCCGAAAGCGCCGACTTAATGGGATGCCGTAGTGGCGGTAGTCCACTCCGCTCAGGTGCTCGTGGCGCAGGTACAGGGGATTCACGTTGAGCGCGCTCTTCAGGTTCATCACATCCCGCACCCACAGGGCGGAGGCGTCGAAGTTCGTCAGCAGCAGCTTGTTGGGATTCGTGTTGAAGGAGTCGGCATACTCCAGTCCGGCGGAGAAGACCCGCATCTCGGGCAGGATGAAAGAGTTGCCCGCGTAGGCACCGTCCACGTGCAGCCAAATGCTGGACACCTGGCGGCACACCTTGCCAATCTCCGTGATGTCGTCGAAGGCGCAGCCGCCGGTGGTGCCCACTGTGGCCACCACAAAGAAGGGCGTCAATCCGGCGATCACATCGTTCTGGATAGCCTGCCTCAGCAGGTCGACCCGCATACGTCCGTGCTCGTCGGCATCGATGATCCGGAGCTTCACCAGCGCCATCTTGGTGGCCTTCTCAACGGAGGAGTGAGCCTCGCGGCTGGCGTAGGCGATCAGGCTGGGCAGGAATACGCTGTCGTGGACGCTGGTCTGGCCCTTCAGCTCACTGATGGCCCGGGCACGTGCCGTGATCAGCGAGACGAGCACACACTCGGAGGCGGATCCCTGGAGGGCACCGCCGCCCGTGCTGCCCGGCGCGTCCGAAACGAAGGCCTTAGGCAGGCCAAGGGCCTTGGCATACCAGTTCATCACGATTGTCTCCAGCTCGGCGGCCGCCGGACAGCTGGCCCAGCTGAAGCCAATGGAACCGATGGCACTGCTCAGCATGTCACCCAGGACCGAGGGAAAGGAGTTGCCCGATGGGAAGTAGGCGAAGAACTTGGGGTGGTTCCAGTGCACCACGCCCGGCATGATCTTCTGCTCGAAGTCCTCGAGCACGTCCTTGAACGACTCCGGCGACTGGGGAGCGTCGGCTAAAGATAAACAGCCAGTCGGCGGATTAGTGGGATGGGCCTTACATATTTCTTTTATCACCCATAAATTTTTGGGGGGGCTAGAGCAAAGGCAATATTTATGGCGAGTCTGTTGTTTTTGGCAGTGAGTAGAAAGATCAACAAGTAAGTCTATACGCAAGGTGTGTGTTTGCGTATGCATAATTAATTGATTTGTTTAGTTGAACTCGGGATTGCGGCGTCCATTCCGGCGTAAATATTTAACTTATCCAACTGCGCGGAATTCGCCTGAAATTCGCCAGCGAAACCCACTCTTCAGCCTGCCAACCTCGGTGGTATTTGGAGATCGGAGATCGAAGATCAGAGGGATGGCTGCCGAGTGAGTGGTGTGAGTGTGCCCCAATTATGCCAGGTCTCCACCCACGCACCTCGTTGCGGGGCACTCGAATCCGTGGGCTGGGGATTTTCGAATAGTTTACACTCGCACATTATTCACATGACTCTTTGGGCAGCGGGCAAAACAATTAGTCAACATGATTTAACAAGTTTTTGAGAGGCACTGAGTTGCCTGTTTCTCTGCCCTGGCTTTCTTTGATTATTTTGCGCAAAGCGAAATATTTTCAAATTTTCAGATTCATTGCTAATTTGTTTGGGCATAGTTAACAAATTAGTGTATACAATTTATCACTTGTGCTATAATTAAATGTTGCCTTCTGATTTTAAATAAAACTCGGCGAAAAACAATCAAAGAAAATAGATCTGACTAACAGAATTTTTTCTGAACTATATTTACGAAGGGCATTCAAAATCCTGATGTTTGGATGTCAGAATTTCCAAACTATTTCTATCTTTAGTCTCCTAATATGGTTAGTATTATACTTTGAATGAGTATTGTCACTCATCTGTGTTCTAATAACACAAAATAACGAAATACCTCAAATTTATTTGTCGATTTTTTGCCGGGTCTTTGATAATTTCACACGTCTTCTTTATATTTTTGCTCACCTGGTAGCAGTTTTTTCAGGTAACCCGGATCCAAGGTGGGCGCCACATCACGCTCCTCAATGTTGGTGCCATATTGGCATATATAATCGATCACTTCCTTGCCGTATTTGCGAAACTCTTCCACATTCATTTTGTTCAATTTGCACTTGTCGTTTGCCTAATTGTTTTTCAAAGCTTGAGTTTTTATTGTACTTGTCCGTTGGTACTTGGCAGTATTTATCTTTAGAGCTGGAATACTAGGGTCTTTAGCACGGCACACACTGATTTATCTCTATCACTTTCAAATCCCGCTTATCGCGTATCGCCCGCTCGTTGCAGCTCAGCTTCCTTG